TCAGCGAGGTGCGCAAGGGCCTGCTCATCAACCAGCAGAGCGTCAAGTTGCGGGCCTACCGACCCAAGTCCGAGAAGGTGCGACCCTCGCCGCCACCACACCAGAGGCAGAGGCTGAAGCTTCCTTCCTCAGACACACCACACCTCCCGTTCTCCATCTCCAACGATGACACCCCAAGATAGGGTGATTAAGCCTCCAAGCTCCAAAGCCTGAGAGTCCCCCCGCAAAAAAAAAAAAAAAAAAAAAAAAAAAAAAAAAAAAAAAAAGTGTTACCGAAATTGGAGTCACAATTTGTGCCTCCAAGAAACCAAGTTTGGCCACTAGAACAGGGTGTTTAATCAATGAGGCCACATCGAGAAGAGGGACAAAGACCCTCTTCAGTCCATCTTCGTGGCCCTCGGTGAGATTAAAGTTTAAACAAGGATAATCCTCCCAGTTTCTGACTACTGGGATTAAAGGTGTGAGCCTGGCTTCTATGGCTTGTGGCTGACTTTGCTTTCTGAACCCTGAGGCAAGCCTTAATAAATCACAAATAATAGATCAAAAAAAAGTTTAAAGAAGGAGCCACGGTTTGCACATCCAAGCAGTCCGAGTCAAGGCGTGGTCCTGTGCGTCGCTGACCTTTTGTCTCAGCTCCGTCTCTCCAGTAGCAGTCAGTACTGTGTGAAATCCTTTTCTGGGATCAAAGTTCCTCCTCCAGGTGGCACCAGGCCTTTTTCTTCTCCCAGCATGAGATATGTGGGGTGAATTCCATTTTCCTGAGGTTCATTGATAGATTGAAGGACATTAGTGTCCCTTTAGAATATCTCTATTCCAGTCAGGCTACTTACAAAAGGGTTTAAAAAAAAAAAAAAAAAAAAAAAAAACCCCCTTTCCCCAGGGGAAAAACAGCCCCTTTCGCCAGTGGACAAACTATTACAAATTCCCCCGAGTCACACTGCATGAAAATCTTCCCAAGGAGGAAAATTCACAGCCCCAAGTCTGAACATCAAGTCACCTCTATCCCTGCTCCAACAGTCTCTCCCCCACCCCTCGACGCTCCACAGGGTTTGCCTTGGCCACGAGGCCACAATGCCCCAACTTCAAGGGAAAAATACCCTCAGACCCAGCTAAGGAGGGCACTTGATGATGAACCACAGATGAACCACACCCCACAAAACGGAAAATAAAACCCAGCCCTGAGCTGAGGAGATAGGTCAGTTAGTAAGAACCCTTGCCCTGGAAACATGAGGGCCTGAGTTTGAATCCTCAGCATCCACAGAAAAGCCAGACATGGCTGAGAGCCCCATCACTGGAGCCCCATCACTGAGAGTTGGAGGCAGGGGATATCCCAGCAGCCTAGCCCAAACATCAAACTTTAAAGTCAGCAGACAGCCACCTCAGCAAGTCATAGACACTTGATTTAAAAAAGAAAATAAGAAAAGCGACCCCAAATCCCTGCACGAGAGGACCTCCTAGAGAGACTAGTACTCAGTGAGAGTCCCAGTCCCAGCCCCTCTCCCAAGGGAGGGAAACTCCTCCAGCTTCAAGTTCCAAGTTCCGTGTTTGACAAGGATGTGAGGTCCTCTCCACTGTGAAAGATAAAATCCCCCTCCAGCCTTCGGAGAGTAATTCTTCCCTTGTCTTCTAGATCCCGGACAAGGCTGACAGCATGCTTGTCTGGGAGAAAGAGGAGCTGAAGTCCATGAAGAGAAAAATGGAGAAAGACATGGAAAAATCAGAGACCTTGCTCAAGGTTAGGGGGTACCTGGACAGGGACACCTGGATGCCTATGCACAATCCGATCTGACCTAACTGGGGAATATATTCAAAGTACAGTTATGAAAATGTCACAATGAAACCCATTGTGTAAAATTAGTATATGCTAATAAAAAAAACTTTTGTTTTGTTTTTCCAGACAGTGTTTCTCTGTGTTGCCCTGGCTGTCTTGAAACTCACTCTGTAGACCAGGCTGGCCTTGAACTTAAAGATCTGCCTGCCTCTGCCTCTGCCTCCCAAGTGCTGGGATTAAAGGTGTGCCCCACCAATGCCCATCAATAAAAAAATAAAATAAAATAAAACACATTTTTAAAAAACCACAGTAAATAAATAAATAGCCCTCTTCTCTTGATACCCAGCTGCTGCTAGTCATTCCTGTCTCCACATTTCTCTAAGTGGAAAGGATATCTGAGCAATTTGTTCCTGTTAGCCAAGCACCAAACCCACACTCAGCACACTCTCCGGCACACAGTAGGGACTTGATAAATATTTGGATCTGTGTAGGGAAGACATTTTCTTTTTGAAGTACCAGGATCCAGCACACTGAGTTATATCACAGGATCAACTTTTGATTGTTTTAAATGGTGTGTATATTGGAAGGGGAGGTTGTACATGTCATGTAGGTGCCCCTAGGAAGCCAATGGTATCAATTATTCATGAAGCTGGACGGACAGACAGTTGTGAGCTGCCCAATGTGGGTTCTCACCTTCCACCTTATGTGTCCTAGGTATCAAACTCAGGTCATCAGGATTCGCTGCATTCTCCTTCACCTGATGAGCCATCTTATGAGCCCTCAGTAGGCTTTCTCTTGGTGTCAGATGACAAATGCCTTCAGCCTTGTGTTCTGTATACCCTGCCCTAACTGCTCAAGGGGGCCAGAGCAGCATAAAATCACCAGAACCAGTGTGCCCAGGAATAGGTGTCTGTGTCCTGATTAAAGTAAATAAACAGGGGGCTGGAGAGATGGCTCCATGGTTAAGAGCACTGACTGATCTTCCAGAGGTCCTAAGTTCAGATCCCAACCATCTATAATGGGATCTGATTCCCTATTCTGGCATTCAGGCATAGAGAGCATTCATATACATAAGTAAGTCTTTTTTAAAGTTTAAATAAATAAAAATCAAAGCAGGCCACCAGTTGGTTCAGGGGAGAAAGAGGCACCAGGAAACATATGAGTTACTAAAAGACTCTACAACATCTAGGGGAGAGGTGTGTTTACAAGGATATATTCATATGCAAGGGGCTTCTATTTTGATGAATTTGGACTTCCCTGTAACAATTAGTTGAGTCAGCTTAGAGGCCCAAGTGCTTTGTGATGGGTTCAGCCCCGCCCCCAACCTCCAAGCTGACTCTCTGCTTTCTTTCTCTGGCTCTCAGGCTCTGGCCTCCTGCCGGGACACTCTGAACTTCTACTGTCAGGAAAGGCTTCAAGCTGTGGAGCTCATGAACCAGCCGCTGGACAAGGTTTTGGAGCAGGCTGGTCGCCACTCGTGGGTGGACATCACCCGACCCCCAACTCCGCGAACTCAGGGCCAGAAAACGCCTCCCCCTGACCCCGTGGGCGCATACACCCCAGGTAGGCACCACAGGAAGGTGTCTGCTAAACCCTTAACTAGAGTGGTCACTTTCCCTGGACACTTGCTACAACACCTATACAGTCACAGGTTTTACTTCAAAAGAAGCCAATCCAAGGCACAATTTAAATATCCTCACTTACTCCCCTTACCTTGGCTTTTCTCCCAGTCCTTCAGCCACCCCTAGCACACCACCATCACTGAGAGGGAAGCAGAGGAGAGGGGAAGGAGAGGCAGAGATGACCGTGGTCCCCACGTACATCCTGTGCTTTCACAGCCTGCGCTAAGGCTTTGTATGAAGCCAAGCGCTTGTTGATGGAGTCCAAGGACACCTTAGCGGAGATGGCAAAGAACGAGGTGGACATTCAAAATCAACAACAGCGGATCAGCGACAGCGTATGCGCCTACCTGGCACAAAAGATGCGAGAGACCTTGGAGTTGAAGGTGCCCACGCGGCCTGGAGAGGCTCCAGGGCGTGGCTGCTGCTGGAGTGGGTGGGGAAGGAGGGGATAGTGGCCCAGTACGAGACCCCCATGCTCCCCCATCTGCAGGAAAGAATGACTATGACTTTAGGGCTAATGAGGGGAACTATCCACCGGTGCATGAAGTTCAATCAAGAGATGTATGTCACCAGGGGTCTTATCAAGGTAATGTTTGAGGGAGAAGTATCTAGGGGGGGAGGGGAGGAGGCAGGTATCGCGTAGGCTCAGCCTCACTGCTCTCCACAACAAACTCTGCCAGGGTCCTCTGTTGAAAAGAGACCTGGAGGCTCGAGAGAAACTGAACAGACCCTTGGTTCGCATGTATCAGAAACACGTGGGCACCCAGCTTCCCGAAGCTACGCACCTTGCCCAGGTATGCCCCCTCCATGTCCCCTTTGGGTGCGACCATGTCCTTGTAAGCTGCCCCAGCACACGTGACCATAGATAAACTGCTCTCTGCAAGTCTGTCTCTGACGGATATAGCTTTTCAGCCGGCCCTCCCACAGCCCAGCTCTGCAACTCCTAACTTACGTTGCTCAGATGCGTTCCACCATTTCCTGGAGCGTCTGCTGTAAAAGCATCACCTCCATCAGCCTCCTCAGCCATTTGTGTTTGTGTTTTGTTTGGTTGTTTTTTTCACGAAAACCTGGGCTGGCTTTTTTTTTTTTTTCTGGGACCCCCCTGCAACTGAGACCTACCTCCTCCGCTATGCTTTCTCAAAAGTGGGGCCCTCCCAGGTGAACGCCTGGTCCAACTGTTAACACCTGCCTCCTGCATAGAATTCCGGCCCTCTTCACATCTACTTTACGCTCATGACTGCCCCGTGTAGGTTTGGCTCGCCTGTCTTCCAGCACTGCCTACTCCCTTCCCAGCACAGTCCTAGCAACAACTTTTACCCTGCAAGGCCCTACTACCTGTGTGTCTCCTTAGTATGACCCCACTCCGCCCCAACACATCCCTTCCCTTACCCATATGGCCCCTCCTTCTCCCCAGAACGGGTCCGCCCCACCTTGGAACAGCTCCACTTCTCCCAAACAATGCCCCACCTCTGCCAGCACTGTCTCTACCCTCCCTCAAAAGACTTGACTAGCTCCATCCTTCCAAAAAGTCCCACCCCTGCCCACAACCCCCACGCCCCTCCCCAGAGCAGCCACGCCCACTCTCTGCAAGGATTGAACTTCCACAGCACAGACCTGCTACCCTGTCGTTTTTAAAACACTGTTCCTCCCCTGCAAAGCCCCTTGCTCCTTTACCAAGACCTGCCCCTCCCAGCTCAGCCGGGCCACCTCCTCGCCCAGGCCCCGCCCTATCCCAGCAAGATCGCTGCCCCCTCCCTTTCCAGGGTACAGACAAGCTGACGCGCCACAACTTGCACATGGAAAAGAATTTAGAAGAGCTCCGTACAACACACGACAACCTCGCTTGGAGCCTCAAATGCAAAAAGATAGGACATGACGTTGACTACGATGTGGTGCGCCTGCGCCAGCGCCAGCGCCACCCGCAAGTGTGCTATGGGCAGGCACAGTGCCTATTCAACAACTGGGACCCTTTCAGTACCGGAAACGGTACTACCTTCAAGTGACCACAGCTGTTCTTGGGCTCAGGCGACTGAAGAGTGTCCCCAGCTAGATGGCCCTCCCTCCCCTCTGACTCACCTTCCCTCCAAACGCCCTCTAGCAGAACTATAATTAAAGGTATTATCACTTATTAGATACCTGTGTGTCAATCATGCCACAAAACCTAACGTGTATTTGCTGTCAAACTGTTAGAATTCAAATTCCAGGTCCCTGGTTTCAAGCTGTGTGGCTTTGGGCCACACACTGCCCTTCTCTGACTTCAGTCTCTCCAGCCCTTAAAATGAACATTACAGCACCTATTTTGAATGGTTGTTGTAAGAATAGGTGAGTATATCGGTAGAAGGCCAGTATTGTAGCTGCTGCCTATCGTAACTTGAGCAGTAGCATAAGCCATTCTTATTAACAGCTCCACATTACAATTGAGGAAACCGAGGTATAGAGAAGTTAAGCCATTGCCCAAGGTCACACAGAATCTTCATGCATAGCAGAATGCCTCTGATCTTTGCTTCTATGCTCACCCTACAAGAAGTACCCAAACCAGGCAGGTGGCAGCGTTGAGTGCACAAATCCATTCCCTGCAGCCAGCAGTGTTCTTTTGGGAGAAGCCACTCACTAGAAGACCTGTCGTAGGTCAGTTCACATGTCGTTCACATCCTGTCATAGCTCAGTTCCTCCTGTGTGCTCTGGTAACCTTGAACACCAGCAAAGAACTCTGTCTGTTCTCCCTGCATCCCAGGGCCTGGGATAAACAGACAAGGGGGAGAGTGATTATTGCAGTCACACTGGGGAATCTGAATACGTGGATTCAACCTGTGTCAACTTGAAAAGAGTCTCAGAACTCTTAGGGCTCAGATTTCAGCAGCTGTCAGGCTCGGACTCTCTCCCTGCTCTAACCAATCAGGAAGGAGCACACTCACCAGAAGCAAATTGTGGGGAAGGTTTTTTTTTTTTTTTTTTTTTTTTTTTTTTTTTTTTTTTGTTTAATTATTCGTGTTGGAAGGTCTGTGTGCATGGGAGTGCAGTTGACCACAGAAGCCAGAGAAGGGCATTAGATACCTAGAGTTGGAGTTATAGGGTGTTGTGAACTGCCCTTTGTTGATCCTGGGAGCTGAGAACTGAATCCCCACCCTTTGCAAGTGCAGTACACACTCTTAACCACTGAGCCATCGCTCCAGACCCAACCCAAGGGAACTTAGTAAAGACAAGATGGTTGAACCTAATCAGATTACATACTTGTGGATCCCCTTCCTCGCTAAGAAAAATCTTGTAGCCACCAATCAATGCTTGTGGTGCTTTTGTGGTCATTTGTAGACAGTCCCAGAGCAGTGGCAGTCACAGTCCAGCCATTCTGACTTGCCACAGGCTCACCTAGCAGGATCAAAGCAGGAGAGGCCGAGCCTCCTTGCTTCAGCCCCGGAACTGGGAACAAGGGTCCTCCTAACAGTCTATTTAACAACCCGTGTTTTGCACTTCTCGGTTCTTTCAGTTCATGGTTTCATTATATCGGATGCCCTCCAGGGGTAGTTCAGAAACATTGTCTAAGATCCCTAAGTGAAAACAGGTCATTGTGTGTCTTGTCAAAAAAAACATGCTATAAGGTGTGTTGGCACAGATCTGTCATCCCAGCATCTTGGTGGTGGCAGGAGGATCAAAAGTTCAGGTTCATCCTCAGCTACACAGTAAGCTCAATGCCAGCCTGGCTACAAGAAACCTTCCTTCAAAAAAAAAAAGGAGGCGAGGCTAAACAAAACACTTATACCACCCCTCTAAAGCCCAGAAGAGGAGGTGGGAAGAGAGTAAGTGCCAGAAAGTGAATAGCTAAAGAATGCTATCTTCTGGACAGGACAGATGCAATCATGGACTTGTACTAGCTGAGGCAATCTGCATCTGGGCCTGTGAAAGACTGAGCCCAACAGTCGGGTATGGGTGGGGGAGACACTCACCCAGCCAACTGATCCCTCGTGGCTACCGATAGATTCAGGTAAAAAGTTGATGTCTCAGACTGAGTTCCCACTGTAAACCCACCAGGCTCCAGTGGATTTTTCTAATACAATGGTCACACAGATAGTTATCCCTGGTTAAACTCAGTGAGTAACAAAATAAAAAGACATCCTCAATCTGCAAAGGGAATTGATAAGGATGGGAGGGAGGCAACAGGGAGGTGGGGATCAGAATGTGTCATGTACATATGCAAAAGGACAAAAGGGCTAGAGAGATGGCTCAGGGATTAAGAGATTACCAAAGGACAAACTTAGTAACAGGAGAGGCTGGGGAGATGTCTCATCAGAAAAGTGAGGACCCGAGTTCAGATCCCCAACACCCAAATCAAAGCCAGGCCTGGCAATTAACCTCAGAGCTGGGGGGGGAGGGGCTGATGCAGACTCATCCTTGGGGCTTGCTGGCCAGCCTGTCTAATAAATCAGTAAGCTCCAGATTCAACTAGAGACTCTGTCTCAAAAAATCAAATCAAATCAAGTAGAGAGTGGCAGAGGAAGCCAACCTCTTGCCTCCACACGCATGCACAGGAGCCATTGCATACAGGCACACACATTTGTTTATATACACTATACCACACAAATACACACAAAAATAAAAAATAAAAATATGACTCCTCGGCCTTGGCACCCTATGGGGTCTCTGGTAGTGGATCAGTATTTTTCCCTGGTGTAAGAAGGGACTTTGAGAGCCCATCCCATGTGAAGGATGCTCTCTAGGCCTGGACACATGGGGGAGGGCCTAGGCCGGGCCCAGGATGATGTTGTGGAATTTGGGGAGCCCCCATGGAGGGCCCTACCCTCTATGGAGAGTAGAGGGGGGAGGGGGTTAAGGGGGGGAGGAGAAGGGATTGACATGTAAAATTATAATTTTGTAAAAATAAAAAAATGTAAAAAAAATATTGACTCCTCATATAAGCTTCATTTAGGCTGGAATTGCAATGTTGTTTACTGTAAATGCATCAACGATATCTGTGTCCTAAATAATGTGCCTTTAACCAGAAGCTGAAAACAAGGTTGGGTGTGGATTCTTCGATTAAAATGTGGTCAGAGGTTCACAGGAAGCTCATCTTTCGATTCCCAAAAGAGCCAGCATGTACAGATTCAGTGCCCTCAGGGGCTTTCTAAAGCATAGCTAGGGTAACAGCTTTTTACAAAGGTGTGAGTTGTACACCAGAAGACATCTGGCGATAGTGCAATACCAACCTGCTATTAATTGCTGAGGTTTTCCCACAGGTGGGTTTCAAGGGCCTGAAGTTAGAAGCTGTTAGGAAATTCTGCAGGGTTGGACCCCACTGGCTGCTGTTTCCTATCAGGAGAACTCCTTGTTTTTCTAAGCTACGGCACTTCCTTCCCTGCACACAGGTCTGTTTGTTGAATCTCAGAAACTATCCTCAGTGATGCAAACGATCTTTTTGCAAGTGACACCTTGCCCCATGGGTTGTAGGCTACTACCCTCCTCATCCTTGCTGACACAGCCCCATTTGTCACCTCACCTTACACAATCTTCCCACGCAGCATTTGCACAATCCCACCACAGCTTTGCAGCTTCGGAGGCGTCAGCTGATTCTCAGGGGTGAGTTCCAGGGACTCAGCAAGAAGCTTTCTCTGGCAGGCCATAAGGTGGTGTCAAATCCACACTCCAGAGAACAGGGAGTAAGCTGGAGGCTGTGGTGAGGTTCAGACCTGCCACTCAGCGAGTACAGGGCACAGTCTGACTTGTAAACACTGGCAACAAAAACACGGGAAGCAAGAGCAAGAGTTGGCCCGCAGCGTTGTGTCAGTGAAAGAGCTTCCACACAACAAAGGCAGCCATCAACAGAGTGCAAAGAGGCCTCCGGGATAGAGCAGTAGACTAATGTCCCCAGCAGCAGTTCTCATGACCTGTGTGTCATGACCCCTTAAGAGTCCAATGAACCTTTCACAGGGTTGCCTAAGAACACCAGAAAGCACAGCTATTATATTACAATTCATAAAAGTAGTAAAATTACAGTTATGAAGTAGCAATAAAATCATTTTGTGGTTGGGGTCACCACAACATGAGGAACTGTATTAAAGGGTCACAGCATTAGGAAGGTTGAGAACCACTGCTCCAGAGTATACAAGAATGAAAGATCTTAACAGGTACTCCAACATGAAATTGGAAAATGAGCTGCAGATGCCTCTCCAAAGAAGAAAACAGTCCCGGTCTGCAAGTCTTCCCTTCTATACTGGACACGCCTGGCTCACTTGTTCAGTGGCTCTGTTAATCTCCCTTTGAAGTATTTCCTAGACCTGGAGAGACGGCTCACTGGTTAAAGCACCACACACACTTGTGTAACAGTTTCCTCTAAGGTTAAAATACTCCATTTTGGAGGGAAACCTCTTAAGACATGGGCTGTAAAGCCAGAGTGAAACATGGTCTTTTGGAACAGAATGTTTACAAGAAACTGAAACATCAGATTCTACTGGGGCGGGGAACACGGGACAACGACACTATCCTAAAGGGATGTTCCATAAAGACAGAATTATACAACTCAAAATAGCTTCAGGAAGTCCCCGAAACTAAGCTAATTCACTAGTTCCTCCCCTCTGCAATATATATAAGCATGAAAGACTGCCTAGAGTCACTCTCAGAGAAGCCAGGTTTCCTGGAAGAGGCTCAGACCAACTGAGATTCCTGGAAAGGATACCCCTTAACCTGGTGAGTGGCTGCATACTGTGCACTGTGGCTCAGATTCCCAGGGGCTGCAGACTGTGCACTGTGGCTCAGGTTCCCAGGGGCTACAGACTGTGCACTGTGGCCCAGGTTCCCAGGGGCTGCAGACTGTGCACTGTGCTCCAGGTTCCAGCTGTCATACTGCGGAGGGATTTGGTAACACAGATGTCTTTACGTTGCTTTGGGTCCTGTAAGTAACCCCTATTCCTATAAGTAACCACAATAAAATTAATTGGTTCACCAAGTTAGACTTGTACTTTGATCTGGTCTGACACTGGCTCCCTATCTGTGGTCAGCAGAAATTTCTTCACAT